GCCGCGGGGGGTTTGGGGGCCCCCGTGCAGTTTGCTGCAGCCTCGGCAGCTTCCCAGCGCCGGGCCCCGGCCGAGCTGAAGGCAGGGCCACAGCGCAGCCCGCGCTGGGGGCTGGGGGCTGCGCACTCACCCCTCGCTGGGCCTGCGGTGCCGGGCCCTGGAGCGCGGGGCAGCTGCCCGGAGTCAGACTGCAGAACTAGCACGTGGAGCTGAAGAACATGCTTTTGACTTCATTGCTCAGGTTGTGAGGGCAGAGAAAAAGGAATATCAGAAAATATCAACCACGTTATTTTCAGTTATGCTCAAACCTGTACTTTATACAGGCTCATGACTAAGGAGATGAAGTGCCAGCCCCTTGAGGGAAAGCCTTTCAGATGCAGCATGAACCACTGCCAATGTGGTTGGCAAGATGCTCGCCACTGATACTTAGGTACCGCTCTGCAGCATTTGTTATCGGTGATGTTCTTCAAGGCAGAACACATGCCCGGATGCCTCCCTCTGCAGAGGAAGTCATTACCAAGAAGCTGATTTGCGCAGCAGCAGGCATTTCTGGAATTTTTGATTTCTGATTCCAGTTTGGGAAACTGACAAACCATCCACAGTCACAGGTGTCAGCTACTTGCATTTTGTGGATGGATTTAACTAAGGGCTTCACTTAGAACATTAAATATTAATCTGCTCATGTGCTTCAGGGTATTAACTTAATAGGTGTCAGGAGACCTTGATGTTAACAAGCAGTCTGTGCCCCCAAAACCATGCTTTCGGATAACGTTCTTATTTTTCTTTTTTTCTAACGCATCAGTGTTTGACATTGCTGAGTGTGGGGGAGCTATGTCTGAAGCACCACTGTGTCACTACTCCTTCCCCCCTTCTTCCCCAGAAAGCTCCATCCAGCCTGGCCCAAGGATGGAGTCCCTCCCTGAAGCAGTCCTGATCAGAATCCTGGCTTCCATACCTGCAGTGGAGCTGGTGCTGGCGTGCCGCCTGGTCTGCTGCCAGTGGAAGAACCTGGTCGATGGAGCCGCGCTCTGGATCCTGAAGTGTCA